GAGTCAGGCAGGCACCTGAAGAAGAAAGGGTTTTAACAAAAAACCAGGGGGGAAGACAAACACAGGGAAATAACTGCAGGCACTGAAAAAAAATTGGTTCGGTTGGTCTCTCTAGGCAGCCAAAATGTGAAGGCAAAGGTTCTTAAGTAAAAGGTGTAAAATACAAAGAAAGAAAGAAAAAAGGGGGTTAATTTGTAGCAGAAAGCCCCCTTTTCCTCTTGCCTGCATTTGCTTTCCCCTCTTTGGATATGTTTCTCCTCTTATACCATTTCTTCCTTCCTCTTTCTTTCACTATAAGATAAGGAATTGTGTTTTAAAGTGTGTATTTTGTATCTCCCCTTGTATTTTGGTATTTTTATCTATTTGTGTGCCATGGCATTACTTTTGTAGTTTATATTTTATACTCTCTTCACCTTTTAACTAAATGTGTTTTAGTTTTAGAAGTAAGTTGTACACTGTAACAATGTTAACAAGGGCGGGAATCAAACCACCGCTTCCCTGTATCAGGCGGGCCCCTGAAAGGGCAAGTGAATCAGTGAATGCATAATACGGTAGCAGGCTTCAGTAACAAGCGGCAATTAACACCTAGGGAAACCCCAGATCAACCAACAGAAGAAATCAATAGGAGACAATGTAGCAACCAGGAATTCTCTAAACTTCACTAGAAGCCCCCGTTTGAGTTAATCAACGTCAGGGACCAACGTTTTGGGCTGAATATCTCCATATCGACCGCTACCAGAGCCCTATTCGTGACAGCGGTAAATTAATCAAAATTCATCAACGGGCTCCCAAACCTGCATGTACATGTGGATGACCCCTGGGGCTGACAGATGCCATCCAGTAGCCACCGAGGGGGAAGACCCATGAGGGTCAACAACCCCTGGATTGGGCAAACCTGAAAACTGGGGAGTCACCGAAGTCTGCCAAGGACAGATAAAAAGCACTGAAAAGTGACCCTTGATCTCCAACTTGACCAGCACCCGACCTGTCTAGCCAGAAGGACTAGCCGGTGACCCCCTTCTGGAGGATAACACCACGCTGGAAGAAGCCTCAACTGGCCATTGATGGCAGACTCCAGCACTTGTGGGATAGGTATACCCAACTCTGGTGTCCCCCATCCCCACAAACATTCGTAGCTTCCTACTGTGTGTGTGCATGTGTGTGTGTGTGTGAGGGGACCAGCCCCAAAGTTTATGATTTGACTTCATTACAGTGTTTCAATCTGCCTAATAAACCAGAATTTCAAGAATCCTGAGTTGGACATTTGTAGCCAACAAATTCTGTAATATGAGGTGTTCCTACAAACCCTAGGCAAAAATGGATCATAGTAACTGGAGAAGCAGGAAACCAGAATTGACATGCAAATAGGGTAACTGATAAGAGATTGCCTGTGACTGAGCCAAAAATGCTTTGCTGATTGGCAAAAATATTGTGTTCATGCGAGGTTCTGATTAGTGGCCAGTGTTTCCCAAAAAAAGCACCCCACCTTTGTGCTCTGAGGTCACCCTAGGATGCACGCCAGCTTTCTATGGCCAAGGTGATGGCTACTGTTAGACCCCAACTCCATGTGGCGCCCAGCGACTAGGGAGATGACGATCCAATTGCTCAGGGATCCAGTTGCTCAGGGAGCGAACAAGGAGCTAACATCAGCACACTTTGCTAGCCAACATCTTTATTCAGATGGAGACAGCTTCGGACAAAGGTCCAACAAACCAGGGACCTGCATCGAACATCAGTTCTTTACCTTTGGTTCATACTCATTAGTATTTACTCCACCTTGGTCCCTTTTTTGTTCTGCCCATATTCCCTCCTATTTCAAGCTCTGCCTCTCTTTACTGTTTACTTCATTAGCATGGAATTGCCTATGCATTTCATTTGTTTACATGCCTTTTTGCTATGAGCGCGTGCTCAAGACTGTGAACCCAGCTTCTCCCAGTCACTCATGGTTTCTTGCTGACTTCTTCATCTCCAAGGTCTTACTTCTGCTTTATCTCCTGATGATAGCTGGTAGGCTGCATCCTGTTCTCCTTAGACAATGATTCATATGTCCTACGCACTACCACATTGTTAGGAAAATGCTTGCCGAAGTGCCTTGCAATGTTACTTTTAATATATCATTCTGCCTTGTGGTTAGCAGCTTTTGATAGGGCCACAGGCTAGAGCCTTGTATTCAGCTGCAAATCCAGTGCTCCTCAAGATCCAAATACAGTCACTCTAACAGCTATAAGCATCAAACAGGCTTCACCCAGCAGGCAACAATTTCTTCTAGTCTTTGAATTAGGGGCTCTGTTGGAAACCTCATGAGTCACCCCATTGATGGGGAGGGTGTGGGGGAGTAGATACCATGTAGATTTCTTGGGGAGAGCATCAGGAGAGAGCTGATGAATGAATAGCTGGTTGAATGGAAGAAATTTTGGGGGTGGGGAGGAGTGTAACCAAAAGCCACCTGAAAAAATAAACCAATCACTAAATACATTCCTAAGCTGCTCCCTACTGTAACTTAGTACTTGGAGGTCAAGAGGGTAAACTTGTTATGAGGTGTCCCCTAGCATCTTTTACTAGTAAAAGCATATTAACCCATTATAAGTTTTAAACATGTTATGTAATGTAAATATAACATCATTTGTCTCTGTACATTGTGGGAGTGAAATAAACCTAGGGAATTTCTTTAACTAGAAAAACCCGATAAAGTGTACTAACATCCTAGCTGCACAGTAGGGCTCTGTGAAACTTCGGTCCCTGATTCAATTCGGCAGAAATTTGGGCCAATTTGGTGGCTGAATCTCTGAATCTGAATCAAATCAGAGGACCCTTGAATCTCTCCGAATTGAATCAACCCTCTGAATTGATTTGGAGAGATTCAGAAAGATTTGGCGATTCGGACATAGACACAGCTTTAAATGTTTTTTCTACATACCTCGGGCTCATGAACACTATGATGGTGGGGCACATGGAGCATCCCACAGAAGTGTGGGGGGCTCCCCAGCGTGCTCAGCGGCAGACCCAGAAGTGGACCAGAAGCACTTCCGATCCACTTCCAGGTCTACCAGGAAGTATGCCAGGGTCCCACCCTTGCTCCCCACTGGCTCGGCAACTGGTGCCTCCTTGGTCTGGAGGGGATACCTGGGGTCCCCTTGCAGCTGATCACCAAGGTGAGGGGGGGCGCAGGGGACCCCCCAGCATGCTCCCCAGTGGACCTGGAAGTGGACTGAAAGTACTTCAGTTTGTTGTTGAGCATGTGGAGGGCCTCCCTGCACTCCTGTGGGATGCTCCATACACCCCAGCATTGCAGCATTTAGATGCCATGCCTGGTACCTTGAGGTTTGTAGAAAAAACATTTAAAGCTGTGTCTGTGTCTGAATCACTGATTCTCTGAATCAGCATCGAATCTTCAGATTTGGATTAGGCCAAATCGAATCAGGGATAATGATCAGAATCAATTAACCAAATTGCTGTCTCTGATTTGGGCCATACCCAAATACGAATTGAATAGGGTACACTTCGCACACTCCTACAGGAGAGGTTGAGCTACTTGCACATAGTGATTGCATTAGCAGCACAGCATGACTGGCTCAGCAGCTGGCAAGTTGTATTAATTTGAGCTATGGACAATACTCCCTGACAGGTCAGCCAACCTGAGTTAACTAAAAAGTGGTCTTTTTAAGGATGTGGTTGTGGGGGTGGGGGGAAGGGGAGATGAGACTGGAGATAGCCATAGCACAAAAGTTAAAAATGTAACTCTCCATTGAGGACCAAGCTTTCAGTGATGTGAAGTGATTGTTGTTGTCTGAGAGAAAATGGTTATCATGACTCTATATTGCTGTCCATAAATTCTTCAGCGCAATGACTATGTCTTCCTACATATTTTAAATCTTTCTCTTTGTTTGTTTAGCACGTGGTACAATAAAGTGCACTTGCACAAGTGGATTACAGTGTAGTATGTTAGAAGGCAGGGCAGGGTAGAATTTTAAGCTAAAAACAGACAACCAGTTTAATTCAGGGCTGATTGTCCCAGGTTTTGACTTGCATCAAAACAGCCCGGGACAATCACTTATACACACGGTTTGAATGGCAATTACCTTGATTTAGCTTTGATTGTCCCAGAGCAAAGTATTAATTTGGATACTTCACAGGTACTTAAAGTACGATAATAACAGTGTGCCTCTGTAGGACCTCAAGATAAAATTATTTTTCCTGGGGTAAATCAATCATCTGTTTTTAGCTTTGGGACCTTGTTACATGGTGGTTTTAGGTGGCTTCTGAAGCTCTTATCCCCTGGACTGGCTGCACATTAACACCTTTAAGTGTCTTAAAGCATTTGTGATTGGGTTAAAGTTACCTTACTCCAGAGCAAGATTATCTCTAATCCACATAATTATGTTCCTGTTCCATTAAGGTATAGCCACTCTCCAGAGCTTTTACACCCAGGTTGAAGTCTTTCAGTATCCCAGGATGCAGTGGCCCCTCCTGAGTCAAGGCAAGCAAGGATGCTGGGGTGCAGTGGGGCTGGGCACAGTGTCTTTTCCCTGCTGCTCCCACCAGGAACAGTGAGCAATGCAAGTGTGGAGCACCCGGGCAGCTGTGGTACCTCCTGCAGCTGCCCAGACAAGCTCGCTGGTCCTGTGTGGCAGAGCCAGTCCCAGTGGGAGCAGGAGGCACTGCAGCTGCTTCAGGGCCCACTCTGCCTGGCAGGAGCAGTGAGCTGGTTCAGGCAGTGGTGGGAGGCGCCATGGCCATTGGGCACTCAAGGTCTCACTCTGCTTGGCAGGAGCAGCAAACTGGTCTGGATGGCAGAAGGAGGCACCATGGCTGCCCAGTGCTTTAGGGCTTGGTCTTGTCAGCAGGAATAGTGAGTTTATCCTGCTCCCGGCTCTTAATTCTATCCCTGCTTATCAAGCCTCTAGTGGCAAGTCACAACTGTGCAGGTGAACGACAGACAGAGAAGGTTTTTAGTCCTAAAATGTGACTACTCCACTAAACCAAACAACATTGAGCTGATTGATATTTGTGAAGCTTACAGTGTAAGGTGTAACAAGGCCCTTAGAGACTAACTAGTTCAGAGAGGCATGAGCTTTCATAGGTAACAAGTTCTCATGCCTCTTTGAATCTCTTAGAGTGAGACTAGACATTACAGTTAGACCATGTTAAGAGCACTTAAAACATGAATGATTGCACATTAAGGCTGATTAACTAGTGCTAAGTGCCCTTTAGGTGTTTTAAGAATACACTTTGGGCTCAGATTATTTTCAAGCTGGGCTAGTTAGCTTGTTTTAAATTAACTTCTGTATGTTTACCTGAAAACCACCCAGCAATTTTCAGTACTCCAGTATCCCAGGAGGCACTGGTTTCAGGTAGGCTAGCTATCTTCCAAGATTCTGTGGCTCTGGACTAACAACTGAGAACAGCTGGGCAACGTGGGGATGGGGTGATTGGGGAGGGAGGGAAAAGGGGGAAAGGGGAGACAGGGAAGGAAGGAATAGAGAAGGGGTGAGGGAGCAGGTTGTAGCTGGGCCTGTGTCCTGGTCAGTGAAAGGGGCAGAATTTCCATGATAAAAAAATAAAATCAAATGCCAAATATATAGGTATTTAGAATTTATTTTATTATAATGAGGCACTGGTAGGCTTTCAAATTGCTTTAATATTGTAAATATATCAATAAAACATTGTGTTTAACTGATACCTATATATCAGTTAATATATAGAGTGGTGTTTCATTTTAATTGCAGAAAAATATAGATTTAGGGGTTTTTAGATAATTTTGAATTTTTTTAAATCAGAGATTTTGGGATGTTTAAACAGAGAAAAGCAGGATCTCTGTGATGACTAGAAGAAGTTAAACTTAACAGAGACTAATATTCCTTACAGTTAGCACTTGCTAAGTCTGATGTACGATCTCACCCATAGTCACTAAAATGCAAACCTGCCCGGGTGTGGCTGTCTGATTTTATAAGCAGGAGGCCTGTCAGTGCCCAGGATGCTGCTTACCTAGACAGATGCTTCTCTGGCTAGGCTTGGGCCCCTGACTTCCTGTTCTTAGTTTCCTGATTCCTTTATTTGATTCCTTGTTGCCTAGTCCAAGTCCTGCTTGTTTGTTCCTAGTTTCCTGTTTCCTAGGTCTTGCTTGTGCTTTCCTGACTTTCTTGGTTGCCTTCTCATGGTTCTTGTCTTCTGCCTGCTGATGCCCTGTTTCTCACTCTAGCCTGGACCCTTTGTGCTCCAGACTGCCTTGCTGAATCCTTGACCCCTCGGTGCCAGACCCCTGTCCTCTGACAGCCAGCTTGTGGCTTTGTTTGGGATTTCCCATATGCTGGTCCTATACAGTAGGGGTGTAGAACTCATCCAGCCCACAGGGATGAATGACATTTGCAGGACCAGTCCATAGGCAGGGGTGGACTGGACACAGAGTGGATGTCTCATGTGGCCCAGTCCTGCTATGACTGCTCTAGGGCTACACTGCATGGCCCTGGAGCTTCAGGCACCACCAGGCTGTCTGCATGGCCCCAGAGCTGCAACTGCTGCTGCTGCTGCTGCCACTGCTAGGCTGTGCCACATGCGGCTACTCTGGAGTTGTGCTGCATGGGGCAGCTGCTTCACCGCTCTGGTATGTGAGTTGGAGCAGGTGCTGCATGCAATGCACATAGCCATTTGGCACACCCTGCATGCTGCCTGTGGGTCACTGAGATCCATGGGTAGTACTGGAGGCCAGATGAAATTGCTCTGTGGACTGGATCCTTGACACCCCGCTGTACTGTTATACCCAGAGATGGATCCAGAAGGGAAGCAATGGCATGGATCTACCCCACCTTTGATTCCTGACCATCCAGCAGCTGCACCAAGGGAGCCTGACATGCCTGGCACTATTGGACTGGGCTGGAGGGAGAGGAGCATGAGAGGAGGGAGCTAGTGAAAGGGAAACAGAGGGGAGGGACAGATAGAGAGTTTTGTGTCTCTGTGGGGTTCTTGTCTTGGACAGATTACGCAGGGAAGAATAGAGAGATCGTCTTTATTAACAATGACTAACAACAATTTACCTCTAAGTAAACCAGCAAACTAACACAAGATAATGCAGTTCAGGCAGCTCCTTCTGTCAATACAGTGCAGAACATACAAACAGAGACTCAATACACAACACCTCCCCCTTCCCCGCCACCTTAGATAACAGTCCTGTAAGTATTTGAGCCAGATGGTGACCCATCTCATGTAGTATACTTCAGGGGTAACAGACTTTTCATTGGAACAGCAGTAGGCTCCTTTGGCTCTTCTGAAGTAATTTCAGCAACTAGAAATGTTGACAGGCTGAAAACAACAGCTGGTGAACTTGTCAGAACTGGCTATGCTAGTGGCTGGCTTCTGCTATTGCAGAGGTCACATTGTCTGAGACTTGACCCCACATCTGCTCAATGTGCCTCTGAAGTGTCTTTCTCTCTGGAATATGGATCTTTTATGATACTGGCCCTGTAGCTCAAAAAACGGTTGCAGGTATTGTTCCAAACTTTAGTTAAGGGGTGGGGTGAATGGAAATGAAATGATCAGTCAGAATATTCTGATCTGAAATCCTAATTTATTGAACATATAAGCAATACCAATATTTAAGCAAGGCTTTAAATGCAACACTTGACTTCTAATCAAGTCCTTGAATCAACAAAGATATTCTAATACAAACCATTTGATGGACACAGTGAGTTCAGAAGGCCAGGCATCTGTCACTGGTCTGGGGTTCAAGTACCATAGAATCATAGAAAATTAGGGCTGGAAAGGACCTCAGGAGGTCATCTAGTCCAACCCCTTGCTCAAAGCAGGACCATCCCTAACTAGATAATTCCACACAAGCCTTTGTCTAGCTGGGTCTTAAAAACCTCCAAGGATGGAGATTTCACCACCTCTCTGGGTAATCTGTTCCAGTGTTTTATCACCCTCCTAACTGAGAAAGTTCTTTCTAATATTTAACCTAAACTTTCCTTGCTGCAACTTGAGCCCATTGCTCCTTGTTCTATTGTCTGTCACCACTGAGAACAGTCTAGCTCCATCCTCTTTGAAACTAACCTTCAGGTAATTAAAGATGGCTGTCAAATCTGCCCTCAGTCTTCTCTTTTGCAGACTAAATAAGCCCAGTTTCCTCAGCCTCTTCTCAGAACAGAAGTCATGTGCTCCAGCCCCATGACCATTTCAGTGCCCTCCATTGGACTCTCCAATTTTTCCACATCCTTTCTGTAGTGGGGGGCCTAAAACTGGACACAGTACTGAACAGAGGAGAATGGAGTGCTGAATATAGAGGAGAATAATCACTTCCTTCAGTTTGCTGGAAATGCTCCTACTAATGCAGCCCAGTATGCCGTTAGCCTTCTTCACAACAAGGGCACATCATTGGCTCATACTGAGCTTATTGTTCACTGAAACCCCCAGGTCCTTTTCTGCTTAGCCAGTCAGTCCCCAGCCTATACAACTGTATGGGATTGTTCCGTCTCAAGTGCAGAACTTTGCATTTGTCCTTACTGAACCTCATGAGATTTCTTTTGACTCAATCCTCCAATTCGTTGAGGTCTCTGAATCCTACCCACTAGCATATTCACTACTCCCCCCAGCTTGGTATAATACACAAACTTGCTGAGTGCACTCCATCCCATCTTCCAGGTCATTGATGAAGATATTGAGTAAAACCGGCCCCGGGACTGACCCCCGGGGCACTACACTTGACACCAGCTGCCAACTAGACATTGAGCCATTGACTACTACCCTTTGAGCCTGATGATCCAGACAGTTTTCTATTTACCTTACAGTCTATTCATCCAACCAACCCATACTTCATAGGTTCATAGATGTTAGGGTCAGAAGGGAACTATTAGGTAATTGAGTCCAACCCCCTGCCCTGGGCAGGAATGAGTGCTGGGGTCAGAAGACCCCAGCCAGGTGTCTGTCCAGTCTCCTTTTCAATATCTCCAAGGAAGGGGACAGCACCACCTCCTTTGGAAGTATATTCCATATTTTGGCAACCCTCACTGTAAAGAATTTTCTCCTGATGCCCAATCTGAATTCGCTCTATTTCAGTTTGTGGCCAATATTTCTAGTTGCCCCAACAAGCACCCTGGTAAATATTGTATCCCCTATTTCTTGCTGGTCCCCACTGATGAGTTTGTAGGCAGCCACGAGATCACCTATCAGCATCCTCTTGTGGAGGTTGAAGAGGTTCAGTTCTCCCAATTAGTCTACATAGGGTTTTTCTGTAGGCCTTTAACCAAATGAGTGGCTCTCCTCTGAACCCCCTCTAGGCCATCCACATCCCTCCTGAAGTGCAGTACCCAAAACTGGACGCAGTACTCCAGCTGCAGCCTGACCAACGCCACATAGAGGGGAAGTATCACCTTCTTTAGCTTGCTAGCAAGAATGCTGTGGGAGACCATATAAAAAATCTTGATAAACTCAAGGTATATCATGTCATACATTTCATAGATTTCATAGACATTAGGGCTGGAAGGGACCTCAGAAGATCTTTGAGTCCAGCCTCCCGCCCAAAGGGCAGGAAGTCAGCTGGGGTCATAGGATCCCAGCAAGATAAACATCCAATTTACTCTGGACGGTGTTCAATGTAGGTGCTTGAACCACCTCTGATGGCAGGCTGTTCCAGACCTTGGGAGCTTGGACAGTAAAGAAATTCTTCCTTATGTCCAGCCTGAAACGGTCTCGCAGTAGTTTATGACCTTTCGACCTCGTCATCCCTTGGGGCGCTCTGGTGAACAAACATTCCCCCAGATCCTGGTGGTCACCCCTGATAAACTTATAGGTGGCCATCAGATCACCCCTGAGCCTGCGCTTTTCCAGGCTAAAGAGCCCCATGGCTCTCAGCCTGTCGTCATAAGGTCTGTTTTCCTGACCTCTGATCATGCGCGTGGCTCTTCTCTGGACTCTCTCAAGCTTCTCCACATCCTTTTTGAATTGTGGAGCCCAAAACTGGACACAGTACTCCAGCTGCGGCCTCACCAAGGCCTAGTACAAGAGGAGAATGATGTCCCGGGATTTGCTTGAGAAGCATCTATGGATGCAAGCCAGCGTTTTTGTCACTTTAGCAGCCGCAGCATCGCATTGCAGGCTCATGTTCATCTTGTGGTCAATGATGACCCCCAAGTCTCTTTCTTCTGTAGTGCTAGCCAGCGTAGCACTGCCGAGACTATAAGGATGCTGCTGGTTTTATTTCCCAAGGTGGAGAACCTGGCATTTTTCAGTGTTAAACACCATCAGGTTCTTCTCCGCCCATTTGCTGAGCCTGTCCAGGTCAGCCTGGATCACCCGCCTGTCTTCTGGCATGGATGCTTTGCCCCAGAGTTTGGTGTCATTGGCGAATTTGGCCAGTCCGCTTGTCCACTGTTGCTCCTGCATTCACAGTGCCAGTCATCTTATTGTAGAATGAAATCAGGTTGGTCAGGCATGACTTGCCCATGCTGACTGTTCTTAATCACCTTCTTGTCCTCCAAAT